TGTATAGTACAAACAAGTACAACAACGAATAATAGCAGAGAAAATGAAGAGGCTCATCTACTCTTGACTTTCCCTTTAAAGTGACACGGCGTTCTCTAAAATGGAGAGCACATATTCAGGCAGGGTATAAGAGCCATCTAGGAAATAAATAGGAATAAAATAAATGTCTTCATTTTTTTTTGTAAGTATAATAGAGATTTCAATGTAATAAAATGATTTGATTTCTTACAGCAATTCATATCAGCTTCACAGAATGTGCAATTCCAGTTTCAGAATCCTGAAACATGGGGAGAAAAAATTCCAAATATTTTCTGCAAAAGTAGCAGTTCAGTCAATAACTGCTGATTGGAGACCGCACTGTAAGGAATACTTTCAGTTTTTATTCTAGAGGAAAAAATGAAATGCAATGCTATTTAGAAGTCTTGAGCATTCATCCTGTGGAATGTGCATTGCAAGGCACTTAGTATTGTCAGAAAGATATCTTGTCATTAATGACTAATGACTAGTGCATAATCCTGCAGCACAGTCCCTTTATCTGACAGGACTGCACTCAGGGATGACTTGCAGCAAGATTACCATGGCATGGTTGCTAGGTGGCAAATATAGTGCTTAGAAAATATTCGATGCTGACAGCTACTGTAAACTGTTTTGTAGGGAACAGCCTTATCAGTGCATTAACTCGACTGCAATAAAGCATTTTCTAAACTAGAGCTATTCAAAACAAAAACATTGTAAAAATCAAATTTACATTGAACTTTTGACATATAGACCTTAACTCGTATTTATCCCAAAAAAAAAAAAAAAGATATTAAAACAGAATTCTATAAAAGCTGAGTCAGCTCTTCTGCTCCTTGTGCACAGATCCCAGGCACTCAGAACTCTGCCTTCCCTGAACTTTGGGGGGACGTGGCACTGCTTGACTCAGGCTTCTAGCTGATGCAATGAGGATGTAAAATTCGACTTGCAAAACAGTCAAGCACAAATATACATTTCTTGTGCACCATTTACCATACAGAGTTAGCACCTCGAATTCCTTTGTCTACCCCAAGGATTTGCATATGCAGGTAACTATACCACAGTAGCTCCCTCTTCCTAGATTCACACCCTGAACTCTGGTGGCGTTGCAGCTTTCTGGTTTCCTTCAAGTGATGTGGTCCTCTACACAGTGACCTGTGCATCAGCTACTACCACAAACCTCCATTTAACCCCCCTGTCAAAGTCCCTCCTACCCCTAACTAACCTGGTTACAGAACACTAATAATAGTTATCATGTAATAAAAAGTATGAGAATAAAGGGAAGAGCAGACAGGCACAAAAAGATTAAGCTGCAGCAATGAAAAGAAAGAAGAAAGAAGAATGAAGGCCTTTGCACAAATAGCAGCGGAACAGCCAATGGCTCAGCTTCTCGTATAGTGAGTAATTGCTAATATTCAGGAAATTAATCTGCACATCTTGACTGTAACTAAAATAGTTACTCATAATCATACTATTATGTTTAATAGACTTTCCTGCTAATAGATAAAGTAGCTGCCTCATATATGAAACATTGCCTATGATCAATTTTCTGATTGTTCTGATGCAATATTTCCTGTCTTGTGTTTCACAGGTTGTGGATTGCCTTCCAGGATCCTAGAGGAGTAAACAACAATGAACAGACAAAATTTACCAAGAAATCTGCAGAAAAATTTGATGACCAGAGCTATCAAGAGTCTAGAACCATTTGACTTCATTTGTCAATTCAGGCTTAGTTCTCCAGAATGTTTACAGCTCCCATTTACATCACTTAAAAGCCATTTTGCCTCTAACTCACCTCTAGCTTCTCTACCAGCATTAGGCAGTTCTAATCATTGAGTTCAGTTGTAAATGTTTTCATTAGACTTCTGGGCTTTGTAGGGATCATCTGTACAGTGTTTTCAGTTTTTCTGTAATGGCTGACACTTCGAGTTTGGGATAGCGCACTGAACTTTTATTGTGACTTGGTTTCAAGAGGGCTCCTAAAATATAAAGCAAAATAATGCAAGTTGGCATAACTGTTGAGATTATCAAGGGATTTCCTTTTCTTTTGGCTACAGTAGGGAAGGTTCAAACTAGGCTACATCCAGAGCGGTGGTGTACTGCAAGGTAGACTTTCACAACAGATGCAATGTACCGGTGTCAGCTATGATTTGCAGCAGTGCACTTACTCCGTTTCAGGGAACGCTTGCTCTGAAAAGCAAAACCATGCTGACAAAATCTCATAGGCCTGTGAAGCAACATTTCTCCGATCTGTGAATTTCTAGCTGTATGTGAACGTAGCTCAAGTAAACGGTGAAGCATATGGACCTTATCATGGAACTTATTCTACTCTGTATGCTGAAAAAACAAAAAAATGTGCTTTAAATGTGCAAACGGGTAAACAATTTTTCTTGTTCTGTGTCTCCCCAGCTAACACATTCAAAATTAAAATACGTGTTTTGAAGAACAGACAAGAAATATGGCCTGAGTAGGGCAAACAGTAGACAGGAAAGAGCTACAAACTTGGTACTCTTTGAAAAAAAACTTGATTTATGTGATCAAATGCATTAATGGTGGTAAACTTCAGAAAGAAAAGGTTCAATTCCAGTCTACAGGATCTGGTAATTATCTGTCCTCACTTCCAAAATTGACCAAGAACTTATTATCAACAAGAGCAATATGTATACACTAGGATTCCTAGACAATTGGATTTTTTATACATGGAAGGAAGGAGGAGATACTCAGTAAAACTATGCAGGCCATGAAGATCAAACTCTTGCTGATCTAATCATACCCGTTTTTGCAGTCCTTCACTGTCATACTTAAGAAACAAGTGGGGAGCTCATTGCAGACTGTTTTTCCTACAAAAAAGGGATTGCCTTGTCACGGTAAAAGCGTACTCAGGGCTGCGCTACTGATGACAGAAGGTACTACAAAGGTGATAGGCTTATCAAGAAGGGGTAAAGGCTGCTACCTACAGGAACATAAAATATATGGTCTTCTTCCAAGGATGATGGAAAGGAACTAAAATAAAAAATTATGGGCTTTGCCTCCAGTCTTGGAATAGGGAATAGCTTTGTTGCGTATGTCTTTGTGGTTAAATTAAACTGAAGAAAGTGCTGAAAGACTCTCCTGCTCACAGACCTGGTTTCCAAACGTATATGGAAGAATGTATTTTTCAATATAACACCGTTACCTGTAGTATCAAGCTACACTGTTCCTGCAAAGTGAAAAAGTTTATTACACTCCCAGATCTTTCAGTCAGGAATCGGTCACCTTTCATATCTACTACAGACATTTCCTGCAGCCTCACTACAAAGCAATATTTTATTTCCCTAACACCCATATGATGTCATAGTTAAAGTAATTTTTTGATTCAAAGTAATAGCCTGGAATGATGGGAAACTATATACACCAAGATACAGTGAGTGAGTCTGAAATGGTGGCATCATCAGATGCCTCCTCTCGGTAGGCTCCATACATTTGACTTAAAGCTTTATGAATAACTGTTGCAGAAAGGAAATGCCAAGGTACAAATGTCTTTGCACCTTGTTTATCAGCCTTAAGATGCAAAACCAGCTTCCAAAGTATGGAACAAAGATGCTCCAGCATAGCAAAAGACAAGAAGTTTCTCTTTATGCATATTTTGAGGCAGTAGAATCTAAATGAATAGGAGGTAGCTGTGCTGCAGCAAAACAAAGATGCGACTTTCCTGTGTCAATAAGACGTATAGCACTGTTTTCACCTTTCTAATTATCATCTATGTAATTACATACAAGAGCTGTTCTTTCAAGTCAGAAGGCAAGGCATGCAAGCAGAAACACTTCTTGTCCCTACTTAGATTCTAAGCCAAAAAGGGCTTCAACCCTCTGAAGCCTGCAGCTAAGCTTATGCTCAAATGGGTTTTAAACAATCCTTTCTTCCTGGCCGTTTTAAGTATGACTCACAGTCTATTATCATCACGAAGAACCACTTACAACACTAAATAGAATAAGAGAATTCAACATTGCCTTTACTGCTGTGACATGAGAACTATCTTCTGAGAACTTTCTTTAAGTAAACATGGTGGGTATTCCTGAAGGTGGAATTAATGCTGAAGAGAACTGATTTTACCACTCAGCTATACAGTGAGGCTATACTCATACTGATCTTAAAAAGCCTTTTACATTTTAAGTCATAACAAAATCAGAGTAAGATACAGTGTGGACATGGGACCACAAATACATAGAAAAATACAAACGGACATTCAGGATGGCAAAGGCTAACCAGTGATCTTATTTTGTAATGACTACGCTGATCACTAGCCAACATAAAACAACAGACATGCTTATTCCCATATTATCAGGAACATCAATTGCCTTTACTTGCCAGCCACTGAATAGCAAACACACTGCAGAACCTAAAATTGTGATATTAGTTGAACCTGTGACAATCTCATTATCCTTCTTTCTTTCCTAGAAAACTTCAGTTTCCTTCACTACTCAGCCTTGGGCCTCAGAGTTTATCTCATGCACTAAAGCTGCAATGACAAGATGTCACTAAATAGCTTTAGCTTTGCGTACATGAAAAAAATGTCCCCAGTTTAGTGGACAAGCCACAGTAAAGCAGACATAAGCAGCCAAATTGTTAATACGCTGAAGAGGCCAACCACTACGTTATGTATCAAACGGCAGAATGGTTAAAAACAACAACAAACCTGGAACTTTCAGCCATAGGAAGAGCTGTGGGGAGCCCAGTCTCATTAGTGACTGATTATAAAAACCAGCAGGTGCTTTCTTAAGCACAGCAATATGGGAAGCTGGTAGGTTTTCGTAGCAGAAGGATGTGAGAACGCAGCTTGCCCTGGTGAAGGAAACAAGTCTCACTTCAGTATTACCTTGTGAGTTCTGTATGTGAAAATTAAACAGTGAATCTGAACAGACTCTTCATATACTTTTATTTTTTTCCAGGTGCAGAGCTAGATTCCCTTCCCTTCTGAGAGGTGAAATAAGAAAGGATAACATTACCTGCCCAAACTCCTGGAGGGACTCAGGTTTGGTCCCCTTTTCTTCTTGATACATATAATTTACTGTAATCACAAGTATGCTCTCCAGTGGGCCTGTAAATAAAGGTGTAAGTTGTCACTTATATCTCCTTGAATAGAGATAGTTGCATTTTGTCCTCTTTAAGAATCCCTTATAGACTTAAAGACACATGAGAAAATGCTCTATGGAATTGTCTGTCTCCCTGATAAACTTTCTGGAGTGCAAAAATGATTATTAAAGACATTTTGCACCAAAGAGAGCTACAAAGCAACAGAAAACTGAACAGGCACCATAGATCCAGTGAAAGCACATCTGTTGTCTTTCCAAGTAGGAACAGAGGAAATAAGAGCATTTTATTTTGCTAGCTACCACTTCAGAAGTAACGCAATGCACGTCCCTAATTAAAGGAACGAGCACTGAGAGCAGCCATCCAAAATCCCATAGCTAATGGAAATACCAAGAATATACTTGGAGAGCGTAACCAACAGAAGGAAGCTCTGAAAGAGGTAGGTTTAAAACATCTATGTTAACTATCTGAAGTTGAGGGACATGATGTGAATTTGCAACAGTGGAAACAGTTTATCTCTAGCAAAATAAAATACAGGTAAATCTTAATCTGATAGTGAATTTCTCTAACAGTTGTATAGTTCCTGAAGAGAAACCAAAGAATCTCTATAATTAGCAACTGTTAAAATCAGCATTTCTAGAAACTATGCTAGGGATAAGATTAGCTCTAGCAAAAAGATCAGGTTGACTGTGACAATGATTATAGCTGACATTGGAATTCTGCATATAATTCCCAGTGAGGTCAACAAGTATATGTAACGGTTTAAATTGTTGAGTGCTGTGATAACAAAGTGTCAAAGCAGGAGAGTGCTTTAAATGATGGTATACAATTCAGAAAACTGCTGAATGTTTGCACACAATATGAATGTTGAAAATATTTCATCTCATAGAAAAAAATGTAATATTGTTTGCTAGGAAAAGAAAACTATTTCCTATACGAGCAGGTTGCATGTTCATAGTTCTTAATTACTTGTGCATAGCTAAGGCACAACAATAAATGAATTGGAGAAAACTTTCAATTTCTCATTACTAGCACAGCTGAAAAGCATGCTACTTGATTGCTTTAACCGAGTCTGCCAGTATGCTTCACGAGTTCCCTGTAAAATACTAAACGGAGTTCTTTGTGCTCTCCAGCTGTGAGGATCAGGGGTACCTAGGGCCCTGCCCTAGCTATAAGCCTTAAGCATTAATTGGGGACAGGTGGAAGTGACGAAGTAAGAGGAGAAGGTTTCAAGCAGTTCTGAAGGATTAACTGCCCTGTGCTTTCTTCATAGCAGACTGGAAACTTTCCCATGCTATAATTCTGCACAGATCAAGCAGCCCATTAGCAAAGACAAGAAACTGATGTGAATGAATCTACTTTGTTCTCCGTGTGATTTACTAAATTTGGGTTACAAATCACCAAAAGTTTTGCAAGGACAAAAAGTTTTCAAATTATGCTAAAAGAGATTGCTGGGCTTCTCTTACGGCTTAGAGCTGTGCTATTGCTGTATGACTTTTACCAGTCAGTTCTGTCATAATTGCATTCACACTTTTTGTACAAAAGGGCCTGACCTTTCTCGCTAACGTGAATGTCTTGCTGTTAGGACACTCATATCACACAGTGGAGTGCCCGTTTGTGGTTACGTATGTAAAACAAGCGTGTCCGTAGGGATTCAAGTATCTCAATGGGATTTAAACATCATATGAAAGTTCTGCCCCAGAGCCTACCTCTGCATCTGTTGACAGAAAGATTAGTTACTGTCATGGCCAACGTTGCTCTGTCAGACCAGCCAGACCATTCGTTATAAACCAGGATCTGAACACTGTAAAGCGGGTGCTTGTGTAGGCACAAAGTGCACAGCAACTTCTGAACGCCTGTCACGCTCTATATTCCCTCCAAGCTTCCTTGGCTGGAGCTCTTAAGACTTTAAACGATTGTCAAACAAGCTGAGAGCTGTTTTGCCAGCAACCGTCCTACCACATCAGAGAAGTGAACGCTCCATGGTCATCTTGCTGTGACATCAGTAACGATCAGTGCAGCGGAAGCCGGGAGGAACCCTATTTTGGGCAACTTCCTGATGCAGTTACGCCGTTACTATGCCCCCATAGGGTGATTTACTAAATATGGTGGAGACGGTGGGAACGAGATCGTACAGAACACGTTTGGGAAGGGATGACCTCAGGGGGAACGAGCCCAGCCCTGCTCGGGTTGGGCTCTTCGTGCGGTGCGCCCAGGCCCAGCCGGATGCTGTCAGCACAAACAAGCACAGCGCTGCCCCCGGGGTCTGCGGCGCAGCGGTCGTGGCGCACTGCTGCGGCAGGAGCCGCGGAAGGGCCTT